CTCCCCACCTACACTCACCTTTACTGGCCCCATCCCCGCCTCTTCGACCTGTTTGTTTCCTCTCCACCTATCCTCTCCTCTATCCATCTTCTATCCGTCTCCCACTCTCTCCCTATTTATTTCAGAAACCCCTTCCCCTCCCCCTTTTCTGATGAAGGGTCTAGGCCCGAAACATCAGCCTCTCTGCTCCTATGATGCTGCTTGGCCTGCTGTGTTCATCCAGCCCTGCACCTTGTTGTCATAAATGTCTGCACCTTGGGTCCAAACTGCAACCCAAAAAGTTCAGAATTTTAGGGAGTTATTCAAAGAAATGCAAACTTCCAGCAGCAGTGCCAGGCCTGGAGAGAGAGACATGAGCAGGGTCAAATTATGGAGAAACAGTTAAAGTCATAAATCACACAAGTAGGCCATTTAATCTAATGAATGTGTCCTACAAAATGTTTCCAATTAGTCCCACTCTCATCACTGTTTTCTCCCATATCTCTGGAATCTTTTCACTGCTGAATCTCTTTCCACCAACCTTACAGGCAATCTTTATCAGATCCTTTACTGCATAAAATGATTCCTCATCTCTCTTCTGTGTTTCTTTCCAATTACCTTAAATCTGCCTCTGGTTATGACCCTTCCCCAATGGTGAAAGGATTTCCTTATTTATTGTACCAGGATTATGAATGCTTCTGAAGTCACAGATGAGGGGACAAAACTTTGAGGAGGCTTGTACATGGTGAGAATAATGCAATTTTATATAACACCAATGCTCCCTCAGGGTAAGGTCTGGTCCAGGACAGAAACAGCACAGTAGCAAAAGCTGGAAGGGGTGAAAGACTGGAAGGCAGTACCCAAGGCTGTACACCATTGCTTCAATGACCTTCCTTTCATCATAAGTCAGAAGGAGCAACTTTTGAAACTCCACAGATGATGCAGCCCACGCTCACAGGGAGAGCGACGTGGACAAGTGGGGTTTGGGCAAGTGATACTCATACTAAGTAAGCCCCAGACAATGTTATCTCCGATGACAGACAACCACCTTCCCTTTATATTCAATATCATTACCACCACTGAATCCACCATTATGTTAGAGCTAGGGTCGGTGTTGGGAGAGAGACAGAAGAGAGAGAGAATGGAAACCTAATTGCAGAAGGCACACAAACACTCTCCATAAATACACTTACCAAATTTGTTACTGTCTGATAGAACAGGTAACTAGGAGTTCCCCTCCAACTCCCATGTCATCCTGACTCAGCATTATATCGCCATTTGTTTGTTAGGTCAAAATCCTTGGATATCTGCACTCAACAGCACTACATTTATCTACACATTATAAACTGGAGCAGTCGAAGAACAATAATGGCTTATGTCACGAATCAATGGGGTAGCGTGTTGGAAATCAAGCCCCGCTCTTCCCAGAGTTGACACAAAAGTTCCAAAAAAAGAAATATGCAAGATGCTCAAGCTGCCCGATTTTCAGACCCAGATTAATTAAAAGCAAGGGCCAAGTTTCTATACTTAAATACTAATCATAGATAACTAGATTGTATCCACAGGTAAATCATTAAACTAAATTAAGTAAACTCTACAAATCAAAACTCAACCCCTTTTAAAATCTCCCTTACACGCACAGTAGCGGGAAAAACAACAGTTCTGTGGTCTTTATTCAAGATCTATTGGGTTGGTTCTGGCTGATCTGCAGAGTTCTCCTTGACCTACTTTTTTTGGATGCCTCTTGCTGGTTTGCAGGAGGCACAAAGTGGCCTTTTCACTTCTTATATTTCTCTGACTTATCTAATTCAAAGTCACAACTTACAGCATTTGCTAAAGGAAACATAAGCTGGCTTTCTTCAGGATGGAAGTGGCTTACTGCAGAGAACTAGAAGTGTGCATTTTTGACTGCTGGAGACCTGCTGGTTTCTCGTCTGGTCTGACCAGCTTCTCTGTCTTACTCACAGCGCGAGCTAATCAGCTCTCTGACAAGCAATCTCATAGCTGTTAGAAAGCTGTTGTGATCGATGATCAGTCCCTTGTTCACAAACCAATCAGCTTCACTTGTAAACAACCCCTTAAATGCACATTGCTAGAACCCACATCCATAACAATGGGGTTCACAATCTATTTGCTTTTAAAACATGCACCTATCTTTGTAAATGCCTGGTTTTCTAAACAGTTCTCTCTCATTTCAGTCCATGATTTTAAAAAGCACTGAAAATAAAAAGACATGGACTTTACGTTGACCTGTGAGACACTGATATATGCAGGGTCATCTCAGTGTTTTAGAATAGTTGCTTTACAGCATTAGTGCGGCAGTCCATAAAAGGTCTTCTGTGGATTTTACCAACGGACAGAAAAGGGGCTTTGATGAACATGGTTAAAGCTGCTGAATCAGGAGTGATGCTGGAATGTATTAACATCACTTTGGAATATTACCAATTATTTCCTCAATCCCTTTACTGAACAGATAATCCTATAGGCACTAATGAACAGCACTCACTGTTAACAGACCTTGCTAGGGCTAAGTATTTTGTAAAGTAAATCATGCACTGAGGATGACAATTCACATTAAGTGCATTAGGTGTCTGCACTTGTTGTCAAATATTTCAAGTCCAGTCAAGCCCCACTCTAAGTCTCTAGCCCATGGATTAAATTCATGCAGTGCAGCTTTGAGGGAATGCTACATGATCAGATTTAAAAGAAGTGTTGACTGCTGGGTCAGAACAACATAAGCAATCCCACTGCAATGTTTGAAGAACAGTAGAAAGTTATGTTGACCGACACTCCTCCCCCAGCTAACAGATTAATACATCATTCATCACAATGCAGTTGAAAAATTATTCTTTTGTGCATAACTGGTGTGTTTGGTTCACACAAATGTAACCAAAGTCCGCAATTTGAAAACAATTCATTGGCTACGAATTCAAAATCTTCCCCTCCCCCTACCACATCCCAAAACCAGCCCACCTTGTCCCCGCCTCCCAACCTGTCCTTCCTTCCATCCATTCCCTCCTCCCACCTCAAACCCTACCTCCACCTCCTACCTACCAACCTCATCCCGCCCCCTCGACCTGTCCGTCCTCCCTAACTCCCCACCTACACTCACCTTTACTGGCTCCAACCCCGCCTCTTTGACCTGTCTGTCTCCTCTCCACCTATCTTCTCCTCTATTCATCTTCTATCCGCCTCCCCCTCTCTCCCTATTTATTTCAGAACCCCTTTCCCCTCCCCCCATTTCTGAAGAAGGGTCTAGGCCCGAAACGTCAGCCTTCCTGCTCCTCTGATGCTGCTTGACCTGCTGTGTTCATCCAGCTCTACACCTTGTTATCTCATTGGCTATGATCTTGTGATATATTTGGAATGCCCTGGGGTCGTGGCACTCTTGAACATGAGTTTCTTTGTCTCTTACTTCACTGATATCATTTTGACGAGAAGTAACGATGAATGAGAAAGGTTGGGCTGGAGAGCCAGGGCTGAAGTGGCTTTGATTTTGTATCTGACAAGAATATTGCTGTTGATGGTGCCAGATGCTTAGGCTGGAAGGACCAATTTAGGCAGCACGTACTCCTCAAACTGCAGGAGCATCCTTTTGGCAAGTTAGGTATCATTTGTGATAAACTGCCAATAAAAAAAGGAATAAATTACAATGTTCACAAAATATGAGGAAAGAGATCAAAGCAAAATATTGTTCTAAGTGCTCAACTTCTAGAAGCCAATATTATACCAGGGTCTAAAAGTAGTTCAGCTGTCTCAATTCAATAGTGTGTGTAGCATTTAGTGCTGTGTTACTAAGGCAAATGTTTGCGTACGTAATGCTTATAGTAAAATGAACAATTTGCTAAATTCAACAATATTCTAGGAATATTGGATAACGTACAAATGCATTTTTAAAGGTAAACACCACTGTGAATATAAAACAAACCCAAAATCCAATAAGGAATTCAGGAAAAGTCTTTTTACTCAGTGGTCAGTATGTGGAAGTTGCTGTTACATTTAGCAATGGAGGCAAAGAGCACATAAAAACAGGATGAGGCCATTCAGTCCGTCAAGCCTGCCCTACCATTTAATATGATCACTGCTGAACATTTCAATGCCTTTTGTCCATCCCATCCCCATAACCCTGTACACCACTGGTAATCAGAAATCTATCGATCTCTATTTTTAACATACTCCAAGACTGAGCCTCCACAGCCCTCTGTGGTACAGAATTTCAAAGGTTTACAACACAGGTAAAATCATTTCTCCTCATATTATATCTATGTATAGCTCCCTGATTTCCAAATAATGCCCCCAAACAGGGGAAACATCATAACTGCATTTATCCCTTTACGTACTTTGTAGGTTTTAATGAGATCACCTCTTATTTTTTTTGAAGCTCTGGGCAAACCAGGCCTATATCCTCCAATCTCTCTTCATAGGTGCGTCCTGCCATCTCAGAAAAAAGTCTGGTGAATTGCATGTACTACTCCAGGCGTAGACTAACCAAGCTTTTATACAACTGAAGCAAGACTTCACTACCACTGTACTTAAATCCTTGTCCAACCAAGGCTAGCATTCTATAGCCTTCAGGGACTTATTGACAAGTCCCTTTGCACATTTACACTTTCCAGCTTCTAGCCATTTAAGAAATACTCTGTACATCTGTTTTTCCTACCAAAGTGGATAGCCTCTCACTTTTCCACATTACATTCCATCCACCATATTTTTACCCATTTAATAGACTTGTTTCAATTTTGCTAAAGCCACATTACATCATCTTCACAACATCCATCCCCCTTTAGCTTCGTACGATTTGCAAACTTGGAAATGTCACATTTGGTCCCCACCTTATAGTGAACAGCAGGTCCCAAGTGCTCGTCCTTGTGGTATCCCACTTGTCACAGCCTGCTAATGCCAGAAGGACCCATTTATTCCTTCTCTGTTTTCTATTAACCAATCATTAATCCATGCCAGTATATTGCCTCCTATGCCACACGCTTTAATTTTTCTAACCAGCCTCCTATTGCGGGCTTTATCAAAAGCTTTCTGAAAATCTAAATATACCACATCCTGTGGCTCTCCTTTAACAAAATTGTTAGTAACATATGCAAAATCTCCAACAGTTCATCAAAGATGATTTCCCATTCACACATCCATGGCTGACTATGCCCAGTCATATCATTATCAACCAGGTGTCTATTTATTCCCTCTTTTATAATAGATTTGATCATTTTCCCTCTTACCAATGTAATACAGTTTATCGTTCCCTGCTTTCTTCCTCAATCCATTCTTAAATGGTGCAGTGACATTTACCCCTTTCCAATCTACAGGAATCATTCCAGAATCTATAGAATTTTGGAAGACAATCAATGCATTGACTTTCTCTATGATCACCTCATTCAATTTTCTGGGGTGAAGACAATTGAATCCTGAGCATTTATGCTTTCCAGCCCCATTATTCTCTCCATTACAATCTTCTTGTCAGTGCTAATTTCCTTAAACTCCTCATTCCCCCTAGTCACTGGAAGATTGCTTGTGTCTTCTGCAGTGAAAACAGACACAGATTTAAATGTGAGCGAGATAAGTCGTGGTGAAAGGAACATAAGGATAGGCGCTAATGTGAGATGAAGCAAGCTGGAAGGAAGTCCACAAAACCATAATGTGTAGGAACAGTAGGCCATTCAGCCCAGCCATTCAATGACATCATGATTTAATAATCTTCAACTCCACTTTTCTGCCTTTTCCCTATAACCCTCCATTCCCTTACTATCTATCTCAGCCTTGAATATACTTAATGACCCAGACTCAACAGTCGTCTACAGTAAATTGTTTCACAAATTCACAGACCTCAATGAAGACATTCCTCCTTATTGGTCTTAAATACTTTCTCTGGTATTATGCCCTCTGGTCCTAAACTCTCCTACAAGAGAAAATGACCTCTCTGCATCTACACTGTCAAGCCACCCAAAGAACCTTGTCTGTTTCAATATGGTCACATTTCATTTTCTCAGTTCCAATGCATGTAGGCTCAATGTACTCAACCTCCCCTCAAAAGACAGCCATACCTGGGTATCAAGCTAGTAAACCTTCACTAGACTGCCTCCAATGCCAGTATATCTTTCCTTAGATAAGAGGCCCAAACTGTTCACAGTATTCCAGTTGTGTTCTGACTAGTGTCTTATATAGTTTGAGCAAAACCTCCCTACTTTTATACTCCATTCCCTTTGAAATAAAGGCCAATGTTTCATTTGCCTTGGTTATTACCCACTGAACTTGAATGCTAGCTTTTTGTGACACATGCACAAGGAATCCCAAATTCCTCTCTTACGTCGCTTTCTGCAGTCTTTCTCCATTTAAACGATAATCAGCTCTCTGTTCTTTCTGCCAAAGTGTATAATCACACATTTCTCCACATTATATTCCATCTGCAAAGTTTCTGTCCACTCACTTACATCCCTCATGTGGAACATAAATACTGGCCTAGGCCTGTTGGGTTGAATCGCTTGCTTCTATGCCGTATAAATCTAATAAGCTTTCTGTGCATCTACTCCTTGGTTTGGATATCCTTTTGAATTGCATGAAAGTTCTGCATTTCAACTGCAGCACAGGCAAAAGGAAAGAGCTTGTACAAAAAAAGTGATTTTTATCAGCATCTCGAACAGTACTGTCAGCAGAAGGAAGTGGCTAAGTGGCTAAGCTAAGAGGGATGGCTTAACAATAACAACTCAAGATACAACTGTTCGAGTATGAGCAGCTGCAAGAGTCTAGGTCGAGACAGATGGTTAGACAGAGTAAAAGTGCAGTTAAACAGACCTCGCATCAGAAAGAGTCCACACCCAATTGTGCTTTTTAAATGTTAGGCAATAATAAATGTTAACGGGTACCTAATGCCATCTGTTGGCTTTCACTTTTTTTGTGTACCAGGCTGCTGAAAGGTCGAGCTGATAATGTCACAAGGGAGAATGGTATCTGGGAACCCAATGATTTGTGCAAGTAACTATACATCTCCTTAACCAAAACAGAAAGTTAGACCGGAAAATTAACAGCACAAGCACAGAAAACATAAATTACAGTAAGAGAACACAAAACCAAATCAGGTACAAAAGGAGAAACAGAGAAAGAAAAAATAGATTGAGAGAAAAAGAGATGGAAAGGGAGAAAAAGCAAACATTTAAACCATAATATTTTAAAAATCTGAGTACTGACGTGTGAATACGACTTTTGTTTGGCTAATGGTTATGTAGAAGACTCAGAATTAAGACGGATAATTTGACTTCAACTGGAACTTTTACTCCAAACCCATTTTTTCTTCACTTTCATGTAGAGCTTACAGGATTATTCTTTTTAAAGGTATCTTCAGATAAAATCAAGGTTTGAGAGAGCAATAGCAAACTGAATTGTGTAACGTTGATTTCCCACAGTCATTGTTCTACAGCTGCTATCCTCTGGGCCTATCGGAGGTCACTATAGAAAAGACAGGTTGGGCTTAAAGTGTGTGTGGACAGCCACATACTTGTTTTCGTAATCAATCTCCAGTACATTTTTCAATGAGTGAAACAATAAATATTGAGAGTGTCTCTTCAGTTCTTCAAATAATGGATGATCTGTAATTCTTGCAATTGTCAACTTCCTGTAATTACACATCATTTTTATTCTGTTATGTCATTTCCATCTTTCACGGAGGTCCTTGAGGTGTTACCTTCGCCTGCAATAGCTGCGACCCAACTATATTTGGCAGCACTGAGAATAGGCCACCGACCCTGCTCGAGTTTCAGTTCTAAACACATCCCTGCAAATTACAGATGAGCTTAGATACAGCCTCAGCTTTCATCCATTTTTGTTCCAAG